CTCAAATGAAGAATCCCTCCAGTCAGATTGAAGTATCATATTGGAGGAACTTACCGACCAAATTTGAGGACAATCGGACAGTTCGTTCGAGAGAAACGGTCCTCACAATATGGCTGCTTGCAGTAGAAATCGCCATGGAAAACTGTTTCGATCTTGAATTTTCGGGGAACGGTACCGGCCTCCAATCAACAAATCTACCGTTGAATATGATGTAAATTGATTCAAGATCTTACTAAAAATAATTTCAGCTTGATCGGACGGTGGATGAATGAGATATCGCAGTCGGAGCTAGCCCTACTCATTTTCAATTCATGTTGCAAATCTTTCCAAAAATGTCTCTCTTCCCTTTCTTCTTCCCTTTATTCTCTGGGTTATAAACCACAAAATATAGGTGCTAACACCCACAAAAATAGGTGTCCCAAAAAATCAACTGCGTGTCGGAACGTGTCGGAGCGTGTCCGTGTCGTCATTTTTTCAAAAAAAGCGTGTGTACAAGTATTGTAGCTGGTCACTACCCCATCCTTGACCATCATGGCTATGTTGACTTTCTTCTTTGGATTTTCCAAAGCACGAGAAATTATTATTCTATTCACCGCAAAGAGAATCGATCAAATTCCACAAAATACTCAAATAGTCCCTAGATAGAAAAATGCACTTGTAACACTTGAAAGAACTATATATTAGGAACATCGATCAAAGTGTTATTGTTTGACAAAATTTTTATCCAAATACCACTAATAGTATTTTTTACCAAATTGCCACGAGATGTAATTTGCTACAGCTGGTAGCGAATTACGTTCGCCAATAATTTTGTGACACGTGACATATTTTCGCAGAAAAAAGCTGATTAGATGAAGTTCGCTGCTAGTGGTAACGAATTTGGTACGCAATGTGATCACTTGTCATAAAATCATAGACAAACGTAATTTGCTACCAGTCATAGCGAATTATGTCACGTGACACTTTGGTCACTGTTCCAGTATATTATATAACAAAATTCCAACACATATAATTAACCCCCAATTAATGTTATTTAGCCAATATACTATTACTATATTTGATGTCCAAAATGTTACTCAATGCTTCTCTCTGTTTTTCATCCATATTTGAGCTTTTGTCGAGATTACAGATCACCATTGTTGGAGTGGTTAAGTTAACCATGAATCTTGATTCTTTGTACTCATTATTTTCATTGTGGGTGTTTGAACTGGACTAGGTCCCGTGAGTTTTTACTTCTTCATTGGAGAAAGTTTTTTCACGTTAAAAATCTATTTGTGCTCTCTTTCTCTCTCTCCTTTGTATTTGTTTTTACGCTGCGCTGTTCGACCTGGTAAAGTTTAGGCCAAGGTAATATTGCCGAGATTCGAGATCCATGATCTTGTTGACTGACTTCAACAAAAGACTTCTGAACCGAGTTGATGGAACCGAGTTCCCAACAGAAAATAGAGTTATTTTCATATTAAAATTGCAAAATATGATTAATTGCTGTTAATGGGGTTAATTATTTGAATTGAAAGTATGGTGTTTTTTGTAAAAGCACATAAGTTGAAGGTGATTTTATGTAATTTATCCTAAATTTTATTTGTAACTGATAAGGAAAAGAAATGGAGAAGTTTAGAGTGAATACACCCTTATATATTGAATTAGAATGTTTACACTTTTACTTATACAGCACACGCTAAATTAAGTGAAAGTATAAAAGAAGAGTTAATCTCAATTATTATATCCTATATGGATTGTCAATATCAAGTTTAAGGAAGACTATTTATGTAATATATAATGGCCAATATTATCTTCTCTCAGTCCTTCACTTTATGCACTCTATAATATATAATTCTTTAATCAAGCTATGTAATTGATCAGCCATCCGTTCCCAACTGACACCAAGTTGATCACGTGCAACCATAACGTTCTTTTCTTTTTTGTGTTGTAAGATCAGGGGAAATGAAGTTGAGTATCCAAGCTTATTGGAAAGTATTAAAAGGTAAAAGAGAGATCTAGAATATCATTAAAATACTAAACTACCCTTATACTTAATATCTAATACTCCCCCTCAAGATGGAGAGTGAACAAAGAGAACTTCCATCTTGAACAAGAAAAACCAAGAAAACATAATAACCAAATAAAAAATCCTGAATGAGAAATCAAAATCTTCAGAGTGCTGGAATGAGCTTCAGCAAAATAACTGTGCTGGTATGGACATCAGCTAAAGAAGGGAGGGCTGGGATGGACATCAGCCACAAAATACTAAATGGTGTCGGGATGGACATCGACAAAATCAAATGTTCTGAAATGAACATCAGTAAACTTGAATAACACCACAAACAAACGTGGGAATAAAATCTAAGTGGCCAAATACAAGCCAGAAACAGTACATCAAAAAAAATAAAAAAAAAATAAAAAACCAAAAATAATAGCAGTGTTGCAAAAACATCCATAGTTCATGAATCTTCACAAACCTGCAAAATGAGAAAAGAAAAAAAAACAAAGAGACAGATCTGGAACAGATCAGGAAGAAATATTAGAAAATAAACACGACCGAGAAGCAACTGGAGAAGAAGAAAACACTGATCAGAAAACGTCAACGATCTGGAATGGCAGAGACGGTCGGAGAAGGAGACTGTGACCGGAAAAAAAAATGCGGCCAAAAATAATGACCGGAGAAGGAGACATGAAGAAGATCCATGGAGGTCCAACGAAGACAGGAGCGACGCGGTTCGGTGGTTGACAGGTCGCACGAAGACAAGAACCAGAAATATAACAGCCACGAACGACGCCGGTGAATGAATGACGCCTTCTATGAAGGTGCAGAAACAAAAGGGCGCAAGTTGAGAATCACGAAAGAACAGGAGAAGCGAGTTGATTTCTCACTGGTGAAGGATCAGAACAAGAATAGTAACAGTAACGATAATAGAGAAAAAGAAGTAGGAAATGGAAAAAAAAATTACAGATCTGTAACGTAAATCACTGGAGAATGCTGGAGAACACAGGAAAACAAGATACATTGGACAAAAAATAAAAATCCGAAGTAGATGACCCAAAACAACGAAGAAATCACAGATCTAGGACATAGAAAAAGGAAGGAGAAAGAGTAGCTCCGATGATAAAAAAAAATGCACAAATAGAGATCAGATCCGGAAGAAAGGAAACAAAGAAAAGAAAAGAAAAATAGTGATTGCAGCAGAATCTCCGTTCATGGAGGATAAAAATGCTCTGATACCATATTAGAAGGTAAAAAAGAGATCTAGAATATCATTAAAATACTAAACTACCCTTATACTTAATATCTAATAGAAAGAAATAGGTAGCTCGTAAGCTCACTCAATCCCACCCAAAACTCACTCTCATCATCCCCCAACTCTTTCAGCCATTTCTGGACCTGTCGACCTGGACAATGGAGATGGAATAGCCGTGGGTTGGTTAAACCTTTCTGCCAGATCTTTAGCAAGAAGCAGAAGAGTGGAAAGGTTCACTATAGGGGGGCTAACTGAATAGCACAGAAGAAAAAAAAAAGATACGGGAAGTGGATCCTCTCATGTGTAAAAGTAGTCATGTGATCATGTTATTTGATCACAATCACTTATTGATGATGAGATAAGAGAGAAAAAAGTTTGTAATTTTTAAACGAGTAGTTGTGATCAAATAACATGATCACATGATCACTTTTTCATATGAAAAAATCCACTTCAATCAATATGCCGCTGCTCACTTTTCAATTTCTTCATCATACGTCATATATATCTTGTTGCTAAAATCATAACAAACACAATCTCAAATTTTTATAAACGGTTTCATGCATATGGAAATATATTTAAAATAATATATGATTAATAAAATAAGTTTAATATACGAAAAATATATATATTGTTAGCCGACAAGTCTACACTTAATAAAACAAATTTATTATTAAAAAACTACAATGCCAAAATGACAAGCTTTTTACTCATCTCTCAGCCATTTTTCTTCATTTTAAAAAAATTTCTTCAGTCAACGGAGATAATTTATTTTCCGTGAGTCCAAAATTATATTATCAAGATATTTTTGTAATTCTAATATATTGTAAGGTATATTAGTCTTTATCATTATAATTTTTTAATCTTATAATTTAAAACGATGTCATTTTTAACTTACTAGAAATAACTTTATCTCATGTGAGTAGAGAAATATTTTTCCCTTCTTTTTATTGTGATGTACGTAGTGTGTTTAAATTTGCATATAACATGTGAGTTATTTAAGACCTAAAGTGAAGGAATGTAAATTTAAATGTTTTGAATTGCAGAGGTTGGACCTAAAGTCTATAAAGAGCAGACTCGGATTGCTTCGTTTATACATATTAGTCAGAATTGTTGCTGACAGTCCTTATTTCTTACCAAGGTCCTCTTTATAGGTAGTGATTGCTTTGAAAGCCACTCAAGGTACCTCCTTATATCATGAGAAAATGGGAGTTCATGTTCGTTCCTATATGACATATATAGGTCGTCCTACCTCCCTACTCAAGATACACCATGGTGGGCATTTCACTTTGCACAATGCAAACTCTACCAAATCACGATCTTTATACTTAAAACGAGAAATGTTAATCGCATTGTGTAGTGGTGTTACATATTGAAATTTTTGTACATAATTAACCCATCCTTCTCAATTTTTAAGCACAGGGAGAAGGAGAAGGCGCATCGCATCCTTTCTTGAACTTTTGTCTAACAACTACTCCATAAAGTTACCAATTTAAAGGGATAAATGTTAGAATTTAGAAAAGAAAAGGGTCCAAACTAAGGGAAAATTTAATATACAACCGTCACACTAAGTGCTCAATGCAATAATTATATTTGTATGATGTATTTTTGAAAATACTATAAATATTAAAATTACTTTTTTTTCTCTGTCTTCAATATTTACAATATATATTTTAAAAAATACACAATGCAAATATGAATGCGACGGTAATACAAAATATGCTCTCCCAAATCAGGACAAAATAGAATTCTCTCACACGTCACAAGTCACGGATGCGACGCTCGCATCAAAAGCTCGTAATTGTCAACGGCAGATGTGGGGACAGCAACCATCACCTTCACGCTCACACTCTCAGTCTCATCTCTCACCGGCAAAAACAAACAGTACCTATCACAGCACACGGGTCCCACATGCAACGGCTTCCCCATTCCCACGTCAACCATCTCCAGACCCAGCCTTGACCACTGTGACACTATCAGCACCCCAACTGAGTCAGGACTCGCTCTTCGCTCCGACACCAACTCAATCACACCCCTCACGTGCTCCTTCCCCACTCTCTCCTTCGCCCTCTTCACCAAACCCGACCCGTACCCGATCCCCCTTTCCGCCAGCTCCATCGCGCTCGTCTCTGCGCACCCCACAACAAACGCGTTCCCGTAGTACCCGTCGGGTAAATCCGGCTTGACCCGGTTCCGCACGTTGATGCTGAACAGCAGCTTCAACATTTGGTTCGCCGGAAAGCTTAGTGCTCTCGCCCAGCACCTCCATACGTGTGCCGCGAGGACTTCGAACGATGTGTAAAATAACGATTCTCCGGGTTGACTCGTGCATCGAGCGAGTCTCTTGAGCTCGCTGAGTCGGCTCTTGTCGAAGGTAACGGACGTTGGTTTAAGCCCGTTGGAGACACGGTTCATGAAGCCGCAGAGGTCAGCGACTCGGTTGAACTCGGGGTGAGTCGCGAGGTTAACTCGAGTGTGCTTCATGGGTGGCGGGTTCAGAAGGTGACGATCCCAAACGGGTTTAGGTCTAGAAGCTAACTCTGCGCGTTTCCCAGAAGCTAACTCGGCAAAATAGTTAAGAAACTGAGCGCTCCCGATGCCGTCGCAGATGCAGTGGTTGATCCCGACGCCGATTGCGGCGGCTCCGTCGCCGAGCCACGTCAGCTGAACCACCAGCGGCGGCGATCCCTTGAGAACATCTGCGACGTGGAGGGACAAGAGTTTCCTCCAGTGGGTAACTGTTTTGGGTGCTTTCTCAAAGTCGTTGATGCTGTAACGGTCAGCGAAGGCCTCGATGAAAACCGCACCCTGGGCCCCACACACGACCTCAAGGCACGAGTCGCTGGGTCTGGCCCTGACCCTTCCGGCGAATGGGTAATAGGGAACCAGTGCTTTGGCTAATGCTGCTTTAAGACGAGCCGTGGTTGCACCCTGGTCCACTCCAGGGCTAGCCTTGTAGACCAAGAGATACTCTATGGTGAAGCGAAGGAAGAGTTGCGAGTCAAGAGGTGAAAGAGCCAGAACACCATATGGGGTAGGCTCTGAAGGAGTAACCACCACTGCTTCTTTCACACGCACAGAGCTTCCCATGTGTCTTCACTGATCAATTTGGGGTTTTGAATTTTAAATCTTAAAAGATGAGCAACTTTTGCAATTTGGGGTTTGTGACGAGCTTTAATATGGTGTTGTAGTAGTGCATAACCTTTAGAGAGGCCTAATAACAAACAAGTTGCGTGCAAGTGCAAGTGCAAGTGCGAGTGCTATTGAAAGTCAGGACGGTATTTGTAAAGGACCAAGGACTCATCATATTTGCAACCGAAAAACTTAAATTATTGGAGGAATTAAAAGGAAAAAATGTGTGGTAGAATAGTTCTTTATATTGTTATTTAAGAATTTGTGAATTTTGCGTGAAAATTAACCTTTAGTGATGCATTTATGGTTAAGAAGACCCCATGAGTTTATAGTTTTGTGGGTCTAATTGTTAAAGAACAGTGCCAAGATTCTCAGGGCTTCGCTTTATGGAAGAAAATGATGATAAAAAACAAATATAGTAGTAGAACAAATGTGCTGGCTTTGCTTTTTGTCTATTGAGTTGGACTGATAGATATGACTCCCTCAATGTCAATCTCCACGTGGCCAAATTAGTCTTCAAAATTTGTTTATTGTACATCATTTTATGTTGATTATATATAGTCCCTCAAATTAACCATAAACTTTTGCGGCATAATATTCAATATTATTATATCAAAATTTTAACTAATTTTTATTATTATTATTTTCTTATATTTTAATTTAATAATATTAGAAAATAATAGATAATATAAGCATAAACAAAAGTACTTAGAATATTCTATCCTACTAAACAACTGTTTTTTAGTGGTGTTGCCGTGTTTGTGAGAAGCTGGTGACGTCCGTCGTTGCTTCACTTCTGATGTTGCATATCTGTCTTTCATTCTGTCCCGTTCGTGTCCCCAAAAGCTACACCTACGGTCTTTTGACCCATTTGAGAATGGAATTTTTTTATCGGATTGATTTAAAAATTAAGTACTTTATTAAAATAATATTATAGGCTTATAGCAATATGTACATGTAGATGTATGCGTTTAAATCGTATAAAGGCAGGACGAATGTGTGCTGCCACTTGCCACGATGTAAATTGCATATCATTTCATACATAATTTAACGTACACAATTCATGCACGACTTGCAATGTTCAGTTTCATACGCGATTGAATGTTGCACATGCGCGTCTCTATGCGTATTTACGAAAAATATTTGAATTTTGAATGAAATAGATAAAAACTGAACGTTTGGTAGAGGAATAATTCTTTTTTATTCAAAAATCTCAATTTTTAAAAATATAATTTTTACATTCAGTTTATGATAATATATAAAAATACAAAATTTAAAAAATTTAATTTTTAAAAAATCTTAAAGAATTCCGCCTATCATACCTAATAGAATATTTGTGGAATACTAAAGATGAAAAGCACTCACTGTGGTGTTAGGCATGGATAAAAAGGGTTAAAAGCACTCTCTCTATATATTAGGTTAGGCAAGCATATCCGTGGCGGACATATTCTCGTTGGATTAATAAATTTCATTTTATTTTATTTTTGTTTTTAACAAACAATATTTATTATAATAAATTCATTTATAAAAGAATTTTTAATTTAATAATTAAAAAATCCGAATATTGTTAGCCCAGTTATTGGATATAAGATTTTGCTTGGTCACAAACTTATAATTACATACTCAGAAAAATATTTAATTATAATATTAAAATTACTTTTTTTCTTTTTTCACATTAGCTGAAAGGTTTTAAAAAGTTTATGAAGAGATATAAAATGTAATAATTTTAATAATAAATTATATACTCCCTAAACTACATAATTGTAAATATGTGACTGGACAAAATTTTATATTTAATTACTGAATATTCGATATACCTTTAAAAAATATAGTAAAAGCTAAACTCATGATAATATACCTACGCGTTGCATATTCTATCGCTGACCATGGAATCAGACAAATTATAGTCGCATGGATCCACATAATTGAGAACAACTTAAGGAATGCGGCCATGTGGGATGGTTTTTATCTTTATCTCTTCGAAGAATATTTTTTTTTATGGGAATTGCTTTTGTTATGTAACATAACTTAAAAGAAAATTTTCTACTCTCACAAAAGGAGGAGAGAGGAGAGAGAATAGGAAAAAGAGAAAAAAATTAAAGTGGATCCATATAAAATTTGTGTGTATAGAAAGATAATTTTAGGTTATGTAACCTAATAAAAACAATTCTTTTTTTTATTACCTTGTGTTTTTCATTTCTATCCTACTATTAAACAAATTTATTACAGTGTACAAAGATCAATCCTTTTGAGCAGAAAAATAATGTCAAATGTTGTTTTAAAAAATACAATTATCATTTTCGGTCTACGAAATATATAATTACGATATTGTTAACCTTACATGTTACAACTACTTGGTAGCTAAACATTACAGAGATGGTTTGGTTTGCCTCTTTATTGGGTTTAATTAAAGCGTATGACTCAAAAAGAAAACAGAAAATAATTCAGCAATTAAATTTTAGTTGGATTTTATCTTAATATATATAATTAATAATCTATGTAGTTGTTCAAATACTAATCATCTTGAAATAACAAAGGATGCCTGTTATGGACCATACATGAAGTTTATTTATTGCTAAGCTCAATAAGGGACAATCCAAATATAAATCAAATATAATTAAGAGAGAATATTGTTCTTAAGAGAGAATATACATCAAGGATATCAATCCTAATACGACAGCATAATACATTAGCTTGGGCTACTAGGAAAGACACATAAAGTCCAGAATCCAATACTCTCAGATAACTCTATAAAAAAGAGGTCAAACCTATAGATATTAGTACATTCCCTCTCTTAATGTTATGTTGTCATTGTGCACACACCACTCATTTGGCGAAAGTTGTTTATTGTTCTTCCGTGCACAGTGACCTGCTTGAGTTAAGGATATTTAACTCATAGATATCTTAAAAATGACACTTAAATCCAAAAATAACATATTAAATTATTGGGTTAGACATTTCTTTTTTTCTTTTTTTTTGGTAATTAAAAAGGCTAAACGCCCAAAAACAAACAACACCAGAAACTAAACAATATCCAGAGCACGATCTCTCCCCACAGAAGAAAGATCGGCTAAATACAAAACAAAAATCCCAGTAGGAGGATTCTCATATAAAACTTCTGTGACATCTTCATCAGCTTCCAGGATATGATTTGCCATCCAATCTGCACATATATTACCCTCTCTATAAGTATGACTGAGCCTAACTCTCCAATCATTTTGTAACCAAGTCCGTATACGAGTGATCAGATGACCCTCACGAACTGCTCTCCCATCCTTGGTGAGCACAGAGATGACACTCTTTGAATCACTTTCAATTTCAATTTGTCGGAATCCTTCACTCCACGCCAGCTCCAGGCCACAAAGAAGTCCCTACAATTCAGCTTTGAAAGCAGAGCAAATACCAAGCTTAAAAGCAAACCCCTTTAACCAGTTGCCAGAAGAGTCTCGAATAATTCCCCCACAAGCAGCCGGACCTGGATTGCCTCTCGCAGCACCATCAGTGTTGATTTTAACAAACCCAACTTCCGGAAACTGCCATGCAATGTTAACAACCACAGTCCTTTTTCCCAACTGATGAATATTAGGAGAAATAAAAGCGTGCTCAACCTCCCTCACAAGATTTCTAATAATATTCACCCTTATATTGAGATCCAAAATATTAGCTCCATAACGGACCTCATTACGCCAATTACATATCTTCCAAACTGAAAGAAAAAAGACTGAAATCAAATTTGCAGGTAAATTAACTCCCACACACCCTTTTATATTAAACTCCAACCAATGCATCAAATCAGCTGCAAAAAAATTAGAAACAAAGGAAACTGGAATCAGATGAAACCAAATGTTTTTCACCTCAGCACAGTCCCTTAACGCATGAAGGATTGATTCATTCTCCGAATTACATATTGGACACACAGCACTACTACCTCCCCAACGAGCAATATTTTCCATAGTTTAGCAATTTATGATGTAAAATTTTCCACAGCAGAACTTTAACTTTTTGAGGCCCAGACCAATGCCAAAGCAGCTGCCAAAGAGGATTATTGCCCACAACATCAACTTCAGCACGAATCAGCCAAGTATACACATCCTTTACCGCAACATCTGTACTACTTCCAATAGACCATCGCCTTCTGTCTGGTCCATCCGAGCAGCAAGGAGGCAAGGTTGCATACAGTAATTCCATAGCGTCTGGGCGTATCCAATGCTGTAAAGCAGAAACATCCCAATCCCCTGTATTTAAAATAAAATCCTCAACTTTGGCATCAAGGTTAATATTAGAGATACCTGTCATCAGCAAATCCTTAAGACAAATATCATTAGCAAAAATGCCTTTCCCAATTATTAGCAAAAAAGTAAAACTGAATCTATAATAAAATTTTGGGAAAAACATCTATAAGTTTATATCTTTTTAGATCCTAACCGTTGATTTTCGTCCATCAACTGTTATAATCTATTGGGCCAAACTTAATAGGCCAAATTTATTATTAATTAATTAATAATTTTAATCTAATAAATTATAACCGTTGATGGACGGAAATCAACGGTTAGGATCTAAAATGATATAAGTTTATATCGTTTAAAAGGATGAATGTTATTCTCTACAATTTTTGGCAAATCTGCTTTTGGCGTGTGCTGCCTGATTGGTGTTTTGTTAATGTCAAATGCTGAATATTAAGAAAAGATTTTTTTTAATAAAACGTATTATAGCTAATGACGTGGATTAACTATGTTAGAGATATAAAATCAATAATCTCACTCCTATACAACTCATTTTTTTACATCTTATTTTTTTCCCTATTAGAGAGATATAAATTAAAAATGTAAAAAATGAATTGCAAGAATAATATTGTTGATATAAAATATGACTGTGCATTCACTTATTGCTTTAACTTGCAGGATAGTTGTTTATATATATATATATATATATATATATATATATATATATATATGGTCTTTGAACTTATATAATCAAGTAAT